TTAATTTCTTCCCTCTTATGAGTCTGAATCCAAATCTAGGTTTCTTGGGCAATACCAGTGCTAACACTATACTGAGTAGAAGAACAACCGCATTCTGGAATTGTTATTTTCGGGGTAGGAAGAAACTTTTCTCCCTTCTAGTCACAGATTAATTTCTGCAAGCCGTGTCATGGTGTCTGAAATTATTGTAGAAGACTCCCTTTTTTTCCTTGAGTTCATTCTCTTGGAGCTGCTCATGAAAATGCAAATGATCCTGAGAGGAGCAACATTTTCAGTTAACACAACCTGATCTGTAACAAGGGTTTTGGACAATAATGGTCCCAGGCCGATGAGACCCAGGTTTGAAACATTAACCAGGTATCCCGGTGTAATGAGTTTCACAAAGGAGGGAGAGGGGCTTGGGATGGAGAAGATAGCTAAACAAAGACAAACTTTACAATTTTGCCAATGGCCTCTTCTGCTTTAGGTGACAACTGTTTAAGTCCATTACAAACACCTGCTCCATCGGGGCCTCTCAATCTTGGCTATACTTGGAGACTAGGAACCCTGGATTAGACCCCTTTGTTTAAAATAGGTACTGCAGTGCCTTTTACTATGGCATGGCACATAATAAATGCAACTGAAGTTTCAGTCTTCTCAGACTCACTCTGTCTTTTCTAAATATTGGAAAAAATGATTGTTCTTCAGTACAGCTTTAAGGACACCTGGCTCTTCATCTAGGGTAGCTTGCAACTATATGACTGAATTACAGCTTAGACTTTGAGGCTACAAAGGCCTCACTTAGTCGACTCTTTCCCACCTAGTTTTCTTTCCTCACTGTCTCAAGATAAGTGACTTCTATGAACCATTCCTTCTCATGTCCAGGAATGTTTCCTTTCCTCTGACTCAAATATTTTCCCTTCTTTCTTTAAAAATAAAGTTCAAAGTTATAGTTATTATGGAGGGAGGTGTCTTTTCTCCTTTATCAGACTCTCTATCCTACTTTTACTATTCTATTTAAAAATAGAAAAATAGGGGCAACCCTTTTGGGCTCCCTCCCATTGTGGGAGCTTCTCTGTCCTCTCAATAAATCTTGCTTTCCCAAAATATAAAATAGAAATAGAAAAATAAGATTGGCAAATGTTTTAATTTAACTTTGGCATTTCCAAATCGAGTCCACTACTTTACAGATGACTCCACTAAAATACAGATATATTACTGTAAACTATAAAAGACAGCTGAAAAGGAGGAGTCTGGGACCTAAAAGGTTAGTACTTTGCAAGATGCGTGCTTAACATAAAACAATAAAATTTGTAAAATATTTAAAATATGACTTAATATTTTGTAAAACACCATATTCCTACCTGTTGCCCAAAAAAACCTACTGTGACCAATTGCAATTTGATGTTTTAAATTGGAAGAATCATAAGCATTAAAATGAAAAATTAATGTAACTATGACCATTATTTTGAACTAATAAATTATAGATCTTCTGAAATACTAATCACAGCCTTTATATTCCTGCTTGCTTTAAATTTTCATTATTGAAACAATGGCCTAATCATTTTAATAATTCCCAATAAAATGTAAGTGCAACACAGATAATAGTGATTTTAAATATAAGATAATTCACAATAATTATAAAAACATAGAATTATAGTTGGAAGGAATATGAGCAATGACATACTGATAAATGCTTAACAACCAGTTGGGGAAGACGACACCTGAATTGTAGCACTTTCCAGTTTCCATGGGCAGATACTTTCCCCATTTCAAGTTACTAAAAGAGGGGGGTCACCAATCATGAAGTGAGAAAGAGGTAAGTACAATGGGCTCTCACAAACCCAGTCACACTAGCTCCAGCAAATCACTGAATACAAAAGAACAAACAGTGTAGCTTCTTCATTCTTGAACCCTTGCCATAAAACTGACCATATCTTTATAATCCACTATACCCTGAACACACAATGACATACACCTATACCTATACATTACTGTGTTCATTTATTACCTACTCAATTCTAGTGCAGGAGTTTCTGTTCTTTTTGGATGTGAAACACAGTAGAAATACATCTTACCTCAGGACCTACCCAGTGTACACATATATGTGCAGTTGCGTGTACACATACACAAACAGGTGAAACTGAAATGGAAACCTTACAAAACAAGACACACTGTTACTAAATGCAGTGCATTAAAGTTTTCTTTTTAAAAATTTTTTTATTTTGTGATGTGGGGTACAACTCAGGATTAGGTATGCAAATGTTCATGATGCAGGTAGCCTTGTTGATGAGGTGTGTCCCCACCTCCCGTCCCCTGGCAGTTTCCCACTACTGCCAATTCCACCCCCTCCCCCGCCGTTTTCCACTATAATTTCCCACTAAAATGTTCAATTATCTTCCCTTTCATTTTTAAAATTCTGATCTTGATCTACTAAAATGGACTCATATCCCACTATTTGAGTAGCAACCCAGAGTTTGAAAAACGCTGCTGTAATAGACTATAAGCTCATTGAAGATAGGATCATATGTCATTTGACTGTATCTATTCCTCCATCTAGCAGTAATTTTTGAGGCCCAAAGAGGTTAAGTAACCTGCCCAAAGATGCATCTGCTGTGACTGATAAATGCTCCCTCCAGGCAAGTGTTAATTCATGCCTCAGGATCAGGATATGTTCGGCTTGGCACCGAAAGCTAGAGGATCTTCCAAAACGGCCACCCCTTCACCAGAAGTTGACATGGAAGTTTTTTTTAAATGGTTCTAACCCTACCATTGAGAAAAGTTTAGTCCTTTACCCACTGTGGCCCTGGGACCCTGACAATTTGTCTAGGAAGACTGGATCTGAGGGATTACCATCTCACTATTCTTGATCATAATCACCCCTCTAGAATGTTAAAAAGAAGCCCATGTTTTTCACAAAACATTTCAATATTCAAACACTGATTAAAATTATATTATACAGAATAAACATACTCTCTGTATAATGCACATGAACACCAGCTTTCTAAAAACCAGACGTCAAAGACTTAGTAGGAGAAAATACTCACTCAGGAAAATAAAATCAGAATCCACAGCCTTTTCAGTGTTTGTGTACCACATGCTTTTTTTGTAGGTGCTATTAAATGTACACTATAGTTTCAAGACAATTCAGATAAGCATCTTCACTAAAATACACAACACCATTAATCATCTCAGTGACAGTGCTCCAATTTAACATCTTGGGGATTTCCTCCCCTTCTTCATCATTTATTTGCCAATATTTCCTTGTTATGAATATCCCCCTAGTGACTTTCCCTGGCAGTCACAGCTGGGCTGCCTACTGTGTCTACCTTGACTACAAATAACACCGATTCTCTCAAAAACAAGCCCTTGAGATGATTCTTACAGTTAGAAAAGAAGACTTACTATGGGCCAAATTCCTGGTGGTCCCACCCAGGCTCCTGATTTTAAATTGACAAACCTCATCCTCTAAGTAGATAGTAATTTCAGACACAGGAAACTGGCTTAATTAAAAATGAATAACAGTTGACTGTTGATCGCCACTTACGTGGTCAAGAATCAAATGCTGCTGCGTTAATATGGTCCTTAAAGGACCCCTTTCTTCTACAACAAAAGGCTTCTTCGAAGTATCCATGAATCACAAAAAGCTACAAAATCCTTAACAAATTACAGAAATCTGGTCACTAAGAGTCACAAGAAAGAATTCACAAACAACAAAGATTTTTTTTAAATAATCATAAACAACTCCACATTATAATTACACCAATTCTGATGAACAGAATAACATCATCTATGCAGCAGACTAACAAGAAATAAAGCCAGAGGTGAATATACATACATAGTAAAGATACAGTCAACTAAACCATGCCAGGCAGAGAATAATCCCAGCTCCATTCAATATCCATTTTGTGTCCATTTTAGAGAGCAGCCTTCCAGCCACCAGAATTTCATGTTCATTTTTAAAATGGAAACTAGGAAAGAAAATACTCTACTACCAGTTGAAGGAGTAAATGAAAGCAGAACTCACCAGCTTGTATTCAGAAAGTATTTTTTAAGGAAAAAAAGGTGTTTTTTGCAATGACACTACTGCAAAAGAACAGTAAAGACAAAAGCACACCAAAGTATATTTGCAAAATATATTCAGAAAGACTAATGATTTCAGTAGAATTATGTTTAAGTTACTTTACATTTTCTATAGGGAAATTTAACTAAAGACTAATGTTGCTTCAATCAATATTCTGTAACTTTTCTGGGAAGCATAAATTTCTATTTTTTTTTTCTTTTTTGGAAGACTCCAATTAGATTACTGTTTGAAAAAAAAATTCTTCTCAGCAAAAGCAATACAAGTCAAACTATAATATATTAAAATACCTTTTTCTCCCCAGAGCAGAGTATTTATTTCAGTGATAGTAACAACACCTTGTTACCCAAAGTGCAGATTCTGTTAAGTAATGGGCAAAGCAAATGGCAGCAAAGACAGAGGACTCAACTTCAATTTAACTGTCCTGTAAGGTACATAGTAATTAGCTGCAAAGCTCTGAAATCTTAGCTAGCATGTTAAGTCTGCTACATGACAGTATAATTTGACTTCTTAAAGGATTATGCAAATTACAACTCATCATTCCATTACAGGATTGAAAAAAAGTGACAGCTAATTTATACATAACACACCTTTCAAATCCCTAAGATGCGTAGCACCTGTGCAATGTATTTTGCCGAGATTTTCTTGCATATAAGTACTTGTTTATTGCAATATAAAGAAGCTTACCTAAGAGCTTTAATACAGTCATTAAAAAAACTTTTAGACCACAATTTCAAAAAATAAACATTTTTTTTCTGCCTTGATTTCAGAGGCAAATTGTTTTGGTTGTTTTTGTTCGGTTTGGTTTTTTTTTTATCCCCCGTTAAATTAGATAAAAATAAGGTTTCAAAACAAGGATATTTTTGAATAGCTGGCAACCACAAGCACTGATGCACTGATGCACGAGCCAGAAGGAAGACTCACAAAGATTTCAACATAC